TTCGAGTAGGTGGGCGCAGGTCATGGTAGCCTTCAGTGTCCTCATCGATAACCATCAGCTAGCCGCACAGCCACGCACATACACGCAACACGCACCACGCGGGCAGACTCACTCGCGCACGCGAGCGGTATGCACAATTGGCGCGCGCTGCGCACACACACACGCCAACCACACACAACACGGTTAGCATCACGAGTCAACACACAACACACACAACACACACACACACGCAGAGCGCCACACCGCGCTGCGCGCACACACACACAGCACACACACGCAACACACACGCACAACACGACACACGTACGCACACACATTGGCGACACAATCCAAGCACAACACGACACAGCACACACACACGGCGAGCACACGCGTCGCGCGCGCACACACACACAAGACACACACACCACGCACACACACACACAGCTACACAGCAGCCAGCACTTTGTAAGCACACAGGTGGCCGCGGGCCCACAGCACGGTGCGGTGGAACGGTCTATCGGCGCGCACGCGAATCGTAGTGTTACGATTGAGGAAAATTCGTAATTTACCGAATTCTAGGTTACCGCTTTCTTCGAAACGAATCAAGCGCGTGGAGGTGCCTGGCGCCAATTTACTAGGCGGTCGATATCCGCACTACAAGTGGAGCATAACGCGTTCTCGCCATCAGCCATTCCTGCATTCGCGGATCAGCTGCGTCAGTATAATTGTAGGAAAGGGTTTTGGGGTGTTACACGGTTGACTGGTGAGCTGATGCTTCGGTAAGAACAGATGTGATGGTAAGAAGACGTCGTGTGTAAAAAATTTCTGCACAGGGCGAGAGATTTTACTTTGACCTTTCCGCTAGAAGAGGGCGCATAAATGCTAACAAGAAACGGCTTTTGATTGGGTGGCTGAATTGTTGATCTTTTTTTGTCGATTTATTGGTCTTTATTTATTTTTGGATAATGGTTTGTTTTACTTTTTAGAATTAGGGAGTAGGGTAGTTAGGCGTTAGCGGTTAGGGTTTAGGGTTAACTGATTTCTATATCCACAACTTGTTATTTCTAATATTCAACTATCTCTCCCTGAGACCTACTCGTGTAGTAATACAACGGCTCTGTCTTATTTCTCAGTAGCCTGTTACGGCGACACTACAGCCAATAGAGCTACACAGGGTTACGTAGTGGCTCTTTTGCCTTCCCTATTGTCTAAATCTTCCCTCTTCACATCTCGCCCCCTCGCCTAGTCACATCGGCTCACTGTTCCACCCCTCTTCGCACTATTACCACTCGCGTCCGCCCGTGGCGAAGCAGTGCCCACAGAGCCCCACCCACCCCGCTACATCGCATACGGCATGCCCCCTGAGAGCGCGTCTATTATCAGTTTCTCATTGAATGTAAGAGCAAGTATAGGCCGTGAATCGCGTGCTGGTTATTAGAGCTCGATCGCTTGCATTATCGTCGATGTTTGCATATCGTCGTATATTTGCATCTTCGTATATATACGTATCGTCGTGTATACGTATTGTATATCTATAAGTACGTCGACATCATCTAAGTATCGATGAGTAAGTATCGTATATTTGCATTATCGTCGATCGTTGCATGTTGCGATTAGCGCGAATCGATGCCATTCGTAGGTATTCATAATAATATATATAATATTCATAAACTGGTATGGGGTAGTACAGCTGGAAATCATTTCCCATTGGCTACCGTATTGAGATAAAAAAAAAATCCAGAAAATCAGCCGGAGATACTCTGAGAATTTACAATACCCCCCCCCCCGAATTTACGGTACAATGCTCAACACGGTGTTTTGTTAACTCAAATATTCTTCCTTGGTGCGTTTTGTAAAGACGGTTTTTGTGCGAAACTCGTGCAGAACGGGCAATTCACAACCCGTTGTTACGCTGAAAATTAGGCTCCGAATTAGCTCTAGAACTGTATAGCCCTTCGCTCTGCTACAGGCCAGTGCACTCTGCCTGTGGCAGAGCGAAGGAAGGGCTATATAGTTCTAGAGCTAACTCCGAATCTGCATTCCTATCCAGCCACACGAGTGAACACGCAACGAGCGAAGCCGGAACAACATATCTATATAGTGTTTGATAACTTGAAATTCCGTGTCCAGTCTGCTTCGTTTGAGACGTATAAAAAAACACAACCCGTCTGTAAACACGTCGACGATGATCTAGCCGCGGAGAGTTCACCCACCCAGCCCCCCACCCCTCACCCGATTTGCCGATGCGAAAGTGTATGTATACTACACCTACGCGATCTAAATTCTAAGCGTATATGAAACCCGTCCAATGAAAAAATCAACAGTGTGGTCGCGTGTAACTAGTGTAACGCGAAAAATATATAGATCAAAATCATTGCAGCCTCTGTCTGAATACGCCTCTACCGTTCCCCTCTGGTGGTTTCTGACTGTAGAATTTCACGAGGTGATTCGGAGGAGGCAGTGGAGGAGTGGGGGGGGGAGGATTTCTATTCAGGCGTAGAGTAGGGCGTTGAGTAGGTCGTATCGTTAGACGTTGATGCACGGGTGCTGCGTGGCCCTGGCGCTCATGCTCCTGCCGCATGCGTCGTTTTTTATTGTCTGCATATAGATTGCGCGCTGTTGTGAGTCGAAAAACAAGCATGCATGCAAGCAAGCATCCACATCGTCCGGTTTCTCCGCTCGGGTTTATTCGTAATTATTCATATTACAACATCACCGCCATGATAGTCTGCGTATTCGCGTCGCATTCAGGCTCAGCAGAAGATATGTGTACGTAAAAAACGCTACGTTAGGCGATCGTCTAGACATTACATGATCGCCAGGCCACGGAAGAATGGCCGGTCGGTTACCCCTGATTAGATTATCCCAGAGATAGAGATAGATTAGATTACCCCAGATTAGATTATATCTGATCTGCCAGCAGCCGCTACTCCTGGCAGCTCAGCGTGCCGTGGCCAACACTATGCCATTGCTTCTCCACCGATCTATTTATAACTATATATATATAACGTTATATTAGATTATTAACGTTTATATACACACACATATATATATATAGTTATATATAGGTCAGTGCGCTCCTTCTATATATCACATTGTGCAGCTGTGCGCTGTACGTCATCCCCTCCCCTCCCTCTTCCTCCCTTCCCTCCCCTCCCCTCCCTCCCTCCCCTCCCCCTACCCTCCCTTCCTTCTTCCCTTCCCTCCTACACGCACGCACGCACATACACGCGCACGCACTCACGCAGCACGCAGTACCGGCAGTGTGCACGTCGTGGTTTCTCGCCTCTGTAACAGTACATGTAAAATAACATAACATAACATACACAGTCATACGTGTTACATCGTTCATCAGCGCGTCGTGGAGACACGATTGAGAATCCGGTGCTGTATAGCCTGTATATATATATATATATATATATATATATATATATGGGCATGTGTACGCAGCTCTCACAGTGTAGCCGCTTCGCTCTCGCAACGGCGAAGTTCCTTGTAGTGAGCGCCGAAGGGGCTACCACACCGGTCGAGTTAGTATGCGTATATATATTGTCTATATATATATATATATATATATATAGCGTATATATAGCGTATACATAGCGTAGCTCGCGCACGTCGAATGTTGCTTGTTAGATACAATAAGGTGACCCACAGAGTATAATACGCTCGTTTGAATACGCTATTGTATACGCCCAAAATTGAAAAAACATCGATAGTTCAGCGTATGCCAGCGTTTTAGAGAAATTTTGATAACGTCCGGCATACGCTGTCTAAATCGTCAATGTGTGACAGGGCCATAATGGGGCGAATGGGGCCGCTATACATAGGTATTCATAACGATGTTGGACGTATACTTAACGATTATAGAACGTTTCGATAACTTATAAGATAACTTATACCAACGAATGTTAGCGTGTTGCCGGCGTTCACAATTATAGCCCAACGATAGTCTAATTGTGGCATAGCGCGCGGCAGCGTATCGCCGACGATCACGTGTCGTAGCCTATAAAACAGGGCTGCCGCTCGACGATTCAAATCATAACCGCACTGAGACATCACAGTATCAAATCACCGTCGCAGTATCAACATGCAATACCATTTTATATACCAATTCCCTTAAACCGCTGCAATACGATATTATACGGTAGCTGTAAGTTAGAAACACGTTCAGTAAGTTCTGTGGTCGTCCGCGAACACGTCAAATACGTCTACATACGTCAATATGCGTTGGAGATAAGTTACACAATAGGTTCAAAGCACGTTACTCATAAGTTAGAAATAAGTCTTGGGTACGCTATCCATTATTCTCGACGTATTTCGCTTATGAGTAACTTACAAGTAACGTGTCGTGAACGTGTGTGAACGATCTCATAACTTACTACAACTTATGCGCCGCGTATGCGGGACGTATGTGCATACGCTGGCATACGTCGGAAATATTGAGCATGCTCAAAATTTTCGACGACCTCGTCGTACTACGACGTTACCAGCGTGTTTTCAGCGTGCTTCAGCGTGCTCAGCGTGCTTCAGCGTGCTCTTAACTTATACAAAGCTTACCCATAACTTATTTGACGTACGCCAGCGTATTCACCAAATTTTTGATACGTCCGGCATACGCTGGCTAAATCGTCAATGTGTGACAAGGCCATAAGGTTGCACGCCCTGCTGAGTCATCTTACTGTGTTGTGTCTAGGCGTTGTTCTGCCAGTACAGGCTAGCAGAGGCGGCCAACCTAGTCCATCCATCGTTCGCCACCACGTGCTGTTCTGATATATCACCGATTACAAATCGCAGGCTGGTTGATGCACGATCCCGCCTAAATATTTACAAGAAATGTTTCACATTAAAACTAGAATTTATTGGCGTTATCGCCCGTGCTCGGAGCACCGCGCATTATAATACCGCATCCATGTACTAAAGCACACGCGTGCGCAGCAAGGCACTTCCGTGAAAGATCTGTGACAGAAGGCACGCATATGGACGTATTATAAGGCACATGTGTCGCTTACACACAGACACTGGCGTTTCTTTCTCGCGCCAGAATAAGTTCTTCCTAGGAGACTTTTCACGACCAATGTTCCCGCCGTGCCACTAGCACCTAGCCGCTACAGGCTCCCTCTCGCTGCTACGTCTGCTGCTTCGGCTTCTCCTCTGGCTTCCCTTTCAGCTTCTCCTGCGGCTTTGCTTTCAGATTCTCCTGCAGCTTTGCTTTTAGCTTCTCCTGCGGCTTCTCCTCTGGCTTTGCTTTCAGCTTCTCCTGCGGCTTCTCTCTCGGCTTTTCCTGCAGCTTTGCTTTCAGCTTCTCCTGTGGCTCCTCCTCCTCCGGGAGCGTCGGCGCGAAGCCGAGTGACTCGAGGTAGGGCGCGCACGTCTTCTCGATGGCTCGCGTCTCGGCGGGCGACAGCGCGCTCTTCCAGCCGTACGCGTGCGCGGCCGAGTCGCTGCGGTACGTGGAGAAACCGCCGCGCCCCCCCGCGCGCGGCCGACCACCGAGAGCGATCTCGTCGATGAAGCGTTCGACGGCGGCGTCGTAGTCGATGCCGGCGAATCGCAGCAGCTCGCGGCTGTACGTCTTGATGTCCGTGACGAAGTCCTCGTAGCGCAGCACGAGCAGGCGGTCGGCGGGCACGCCGGCGTCGCGCGCCGTCGCCCAGTTCGCCTGCATGTCGTCGCAGATGGCGCGGATCTTCGACGCGACGACCGGCTTGATGCCGACGTCGCGTCGCGACGCGATGATGGCGCGCGGGTCGCGCACGAGGTAGACGACGCGCACGTCGGCGCCGCTCTTGAGCAGCGGCAGCAGGTCGGCGACGTGCAGCCGCACCGTCTTGACGACGTGGTGGCGGTGCGTGCGGCAGATGGCGTCGAGGCGCGGCGCGACGGCGGCGGCGATGGTCGGGTAACAGCTGCGCACGCGGTCGACGTCGACGCGCGAGTCACAGCCGGCGGCGCGCGCGATCGCGCGGCTGCGGCTCAGGAACGCCGGCCAAGTCGGCCAGCGGCGGTGGTCGCGGCTGAAGGCAATATATAACGATGTGACAGGTGATGTGAGTGATATTTACTGAGAAATCGATATGCACCGCCCACATCGGCACCCAGAATTCGCCAGGTCAGGTGGGTATACGCCAAATCCTGAACCTGTTGCCTGTTGCGCTGGAAAACCGAAACGCTTCCATGCAAGTCTGCTACAAACTCGTGCACTATTCTCCCTCTCTTCCCCCGTCATGGCAGCCATCAATCGTCGAGTTCATCCATCTAATTTATCTGTCTGGTCTGTCTCCGTCTCTAATACCCCTCCCCTTAAGACGCACAGATGGCTTAGCAACTTACGTGCTGTCTCTTACCCCTCTCTCCTCCCCCCAGTCCCCCAATCTCTCTTCCTCGCTCCCTTCCTTCATCCACCTCCGAGTCCTCCCTCAGTCTGTATATATGCATCTTTCTCGCTCGCCTGCACTGATGGCTTTATTAACTCTAACGTATTCTCTCTCTCTCTCTCTCTCTCTCTCTCTCTCTCTCTCTCTCTCTCTCTCTCTCGCTCTCTCTCGCTCTAATAACGTATTCTCTCTTTCTCTCTCTCTCTCTCTATCCCTCTCTCTCTCTCTCTTTCTCTCTCTCTCGCTCTCTCTCGCTCTAATAACGTATTCTCTCTCTCTCGCTCTAATAACGTATTCTCTCTCTCTCGCTCTAATAACGTATTCTCTCTCTCCCTCTCTCTCTCTCTCTCTCTCTCTCTCTCTCTCTCTTCTCGTGCTCTTCTCTCTCTCCTTCTCTCTTTCCTCTCTCTCGCTCTCTCTCGGCCTAATACGTATTCTCTCTCTCTCTCTCGCTCTCTCTCGCTCTAATAACGTATTCTCTCTCTCTCTATCTCTCTCTCTATTTCTCTCTCTCCTCTCTCTCTGCTCTCTCCTCTCCTCTCTCTCTATCGCTTTCTCGCTTTCTCTCTTTCTCGCTTTTTCTTTCTCTTGCTCTCTCTCGCTCTTTCTCTCTTTCTTTCTCCCCTCACTCTCTCCCTCTCTCTCTCCTCTCCTTCCTCTCTCTCTCTCTCTCTTTATTAACGTATTCCTCTCTCACGCGCCAGGTTACCACCGCAGCGCTTCATCGCAGTCGGTGAATGAATATTCAAGAAAAAAAAAAAAAAAACAACCACCCGGAGCGTCATGTACTTCTTCGAGCGCAGCAGATGGTCGGCTCGCCCGAATTCCGCGCACACGACTTTCGCCCGCGTGGCTCGCCGCGCAGCGCCGCACCATCGCCGCACGCGCCAGCGATCGCCTCCGACGTCTTGGCCAACGCAGCGGGCCTGCATCGCCGACATGGCACGCGTGCGACTGGAGCGGTCATCGCGGC